TTTTATGATCCATTATGAGGGGGGCACCTGACTGGCTCAGTGGGTAGAATGTGTGACTCTTGATCTCCAGGTAGTGCGTTCCAGCTCCAGGCTGGGTGAAGAGATCACTTAAAAATAAAATCTTAAAAAAGAATTAATTATGAGAATTTATTATGATAGTGCCTAAATGATAGGGTTATCATGAGTCTTAATTGAGATAAGGCCTTTGAAGAACACTGGCCCAGGATGGGTGCTCCAAACATTTATCTTTAATATATCACATCCCATTCCTGAGCAGTCGGGCCTATTTTCACCATGTTCATCTTCTTGTTACTAAGATATTAATACATCAAGACTAGAGCGATGCCTTCTTTTTTAGTTTCCTTGATCCTACTTTCACCACCCTGCATGAACTTGCTAGATTTTATTTGCTAAAATAAAACTTTTATCATGCTATTACCTCATTCAAATACCTTGATAACATCCAGCTACCAGCACATCAATTGGTAGCTATTAATCACCAAATGTGTTTGGTGAACAAATAAATAAACACACGAATACCCTATGGGAAAATTTTCACAAACTCTGCCCTCCTTTCTTACCTTATCTCCTGCTAGTTATTACCACAAACAGGGAACATGCATTCATTGTGTGACTTTGACATGTCAGATACCATGGCAGTTGTTGAATATTCAAGGATCATAAAAGGGCTCATGGCTTCTTTGAAAGAAAACATCCACTTAAGCCGCATTGGTTTATTTACTGTCTTTTGCCTTCCCATTGCCAAGATTTTGATAGCTCTGCTCCACCAGACTAAAAAGCTGTCTCTCTTCTTTCACATTCTTTTTATCCCTCAGGATTCGGCAGCTCACATTGTACCTTGTTCTCCATAAACACTTACCTAACTTTCCATCTGTAAAATGATCTTTCCCCCATCCCTCCTCTGCCTTTCTAAGACAATTATTTTTAATTATACCATACTTTACTTTGGCTAGGAATTATAATTATACAATGCATTATAAATTTCCTGGTATGAAAACTCTAAAATTCTATTAGATATATTATATAACATATATATGTTATATGACACATATAACATAAATATATATATATAAACACATATATAATATGTTTATATATACATATATCTATATCTATATCTATATGGTTTATGCCCTATCTCCTTACTGGTCTGAGTTCTTTAAGGTCATGCCTTTCACATTGTACTTTTTATTTCTTAGTATCTTATATTAGCCTAATATTAATATTTCTCACATAGTGGTTCTTCGGTCAGTATTTGCTCGTTGATTGATGTTTGATAAGTTACTGGAAATTTCCTTGTATTTAACAGAGAGGTGTGTTCTTTGCCCACACTACTAGATATTCAATAAATGTTGCCTTGTTGTCCCAGTACAAACTGATCAATTCATGAAAAGAGGAAAAATCTCTTGACTGCCATTGATAAAAGAGATGCTCCTGAGCATTCAAGAAAAGGGGCAGAGAATTAAGGAATCGAATACCTCCCTGTGGTGAAAGAGAGGTTCCTTTTCCCTGTCTTAATTCCTAACTTACCCTGTCCTTGTCCCTATTCCCGGAGTAGAGATTCTTCACCTGGAGCCTCTGGCTACTTATAACATCCATGAATGCATTTGAGCAGGACTTGGAACCCAGTAAAATGTTATGCATAAGGAAAAGCGGAGAGCATAATTTAACAAGTACAAAGAAAAGGTTTAAACTCAAACTTATCCAACTGCAACGCCCTTGCTTTTCCAACCGTATCATGGCTTAGGTGAGTTCTTGCATCTTGGGCTAGGAAAAAGATACAGTCTGGTTACTGGACTGGAGTGTCCAAGGAAAGGTTTGCAACAACACCGCCACAGGTGTGACAATAACAGAAGCAACAACCAACACGTACGTGTTACTTGATATGGGTCAGGCACAATTCTAAGTGCTGTACGTTTTAACCTATTGGAAACCTCTCCACAAATCTATGAAGTGGGTAGTACTATGCTTATCCCTTTTATAGATTAAACACCTAAGGGACAGAGAGGTTGAGTTATTTATACAAGGCGCAAGCACATGGAACACAATGGTGATGGGTCAGGGGAGAGGAGGCTTGTTGGAAAGAAAGATGGCCAAGGGAATAGTTTTCTACGACCAGATTGTGTTTCAAGCCAGCCTGTGTTCAAGCTTGCCCTGAATTCCACCTGAACCTTCTTTCTTGGCTAAAAGAGAAAATCTGTCCAAGGTGGCAAAATAAAGAGCCAGACAACCCATTCCAGCCCCTGACCTGACTTTGAAGAGTCAGTCTAAGAATAAACCAGTCACATCAGGTTTGTGATGATAATCACTTGCTTCCAAACCTCTTAGAAAATAAAAGGGTGCCTGAAGGAGACCTTTCTAAATTCTGGCATTCCTCACATCTTTAATATACAGGTACAATTTAAATCACTTGTATTTGATGTTAGTGAGAAAGAGTGACTAGCCTTGAAATGAACTTTGACAACATGTAGAATATAGTTACCCTGCTAACTAGTGGGTTGTCAGTAGAAATCATAGTTTAAATGGTTTTAACAGCAGATGTGGTATGTGTTCTGAATTTGAGTATTTCAAATATCTCTAAGGTAGCCAAGGTTTTGGTGAACCCTACCCCTAAACATTCCAAGCCAGGATAAATTTCAGCAGCCTCTGCACAACCACTGCTTCTAGCCTCAAAAGTGTTCCATTTCACACTAGACTGCAAGAGACCTGGATTCTGATGATAGCCCCAGGCATCTTTGTGACTTAACTGTGGATGACTTGGTTGTGTCTTAGTGTCTTCTACCTAAAAGTGGGCGTGACAAGGTATACAACTTAACCATCCAATTAAAGGGATTTTAAGTAAGATGATGTTTGGTAAAATCCCTGGGGTTTTGGAAGCGAAGTTCTTACTAAAATTAAAAAAAAATGGAAATGTTTGTTCTTGCACAAATATGACATGTAAAAAGAATTGTAACTTGGTCACAGCTTTTAAACTAGTCTGCAAAGACATGTTATCCAAGAATTTTGCTAGTTAATTTTCTTTATCAAGAGTTTGGTCTTTCTTAAAATCTAGTACAATAATGGAAGACTAGATTATGTACAAGAAGATCTGGGTATTAGTTTCTGTTGTGCTTCTTACCAGCTCTGTGAACTTGGGCAGATCATCAGACTTCCATTTACTCATCTGTAAAATGGAAATAGTAAAAATGATTTCCCTTGCTCATCTCAAAGGACTGCTATGACATATATCAGAAAACAATAAAAGCTAACATTTATGGAGAGCTTAATTTATCGGGCCATGCTCTGAGTTATGTGCTTTATATATACTGCTTCATTTCATCTCCTCTCCAATATTTTAAACTAGGTAATAATTTTTACCTATCATACAGATACGGGAACTGAGACTCAGAGAGTTGTCTTACTATCAGAGGAAAAAACCCGGATGTGAACCGCAACCAAAATGACTCTGCCTTATAAAAGTAAGATGATCTACCTATCAAGATAATGTGTCTTCTTTTCTTCTTCCATTTTCTCCTTCATACCCTTATCCCCCTACCCCTTTCTCTCTCTTCGGTGACAATTATTGCCATTATTCATCATATACACTGTGGTAGGGTTGGGTTTTGATAAAGAGCAAACCAGGGCTGGGCAAAACAATAATCATGGTGGAATTATAGCCAATGTTCTGCCTGTCTTTATGTGGTCATTTACAAGCGTTTCTTGAGAATTTACTATATACCATGACTGTGCTGGGTGCAGGGACTCTACAAATGAAAATGATGCGCTTCCTCCCTTGCGGTGACACACGTCCATAAACAGCTATTACATGAAGAAGAAGCGCTTGCATGTCGTGTGAAAGAAATGGACGCAAGAGGAATTCAAGAGGAAAACATAATTAATTCCACATAAGGGAATCGTGGTTTTTGCACCAACGTCCCGGGAAAATAATACTTGGCTTTTTTTCTAAACGATCGGAATAACTGGGCATGTGGTTATTCGAAGTCAAAGAGAGGAGGCGTGGGGTAAGATGTTATAAAATTAGGGAGGCGGGTCTTGGGACATAAGGCAAAATATCATGTGACAGCACCCCCTCCCCTACTTTAGATACCCACTCAAGAATTTAATTCCTTCAAGTTTCATCAAGGCAGAAGTATGTCCTGTAGGATTGTGTACTTGGATGGCTAGGGGAGGGAAAGGGAAGGTGGAGGATGGGAGGGCTATCCTCTCTCCTCTCATGTTTCACAGATGTTGATTTCAAGTTTCCACCTGGTAACAGCCTAGGGGCCAGGGCATAAAGATACAAGTCAAAACATAGAGACACACAGGGAGAGAATTAAACAGCATCCAGCAAGGGAATTACAAAAACACAAAAATGCCTTCCAGTGGCTAAATAAATATCTTTCCTTGTGTTTACACTTTCTTTTTTCTACTTACTGAAATTTGGAAAGAGCCAGAGACTCTCTTGCTTTTTCAAAGTTCTGGATTATATAAAAGTATAGACCACGAAAATCAAAATTTTCATATGCAGGCTAAATTAAAATGTAACCAATTTCTAGTATCTATATGTTTTATTTAGAAAAATAAGAAACCCAATGGTTGATAAACAACAAGAAAGATTATAAACTATGACTAATGAAATAATAATAATAGCAACAGTGACATTCTTTTCATATAAAACCATGACTTTCTTTCAGGACACTTCAGAAATATGTTCAAAATACATAGAAAAACTCCACCAGCAGAGTACTTGAATTTGCACAAACAGCTCAGGACAAGTAAGAATCTGAAAGAGTATCTTCATATAAATCTACTCATGTATTTCTGCAGACCACGTTCAAAATAACCACAAGATTAATTTCGTTCCATTTGCCAGATTTGCACATCATGAAAGCAAGAAAAACTGTCATTTCGGAAGTTACTTATAAACAAGCCTAGAAAGGGTGGATAGTGGAGTGAGGCTGGGGGTGGGGAAGCAAACCCTTTAGTTACAATGTTTTAGGGAAACGAATCGACACAATAAAACAAATTTCAAATCAAGTCGCCCCTCTACACCACATAAGCCCTTTAGAATCTTAAGTAGATGCAAAAGGAATAAAGCAAATGGGGAGAAAAAAGGCCGATAAACTTTCTGGCTGCAATACAAGAGACATATCATTACCATATGATCTAATGTGGGTGTCAGCCGGATTGTGTTCATTGAGGGAAACCTTATTTTTTAACTGTGCTATGGAGTAGAAGCAGGAGGTTTTCAACCTAGTGACAGTCACAGAGCAGCACCTACCCCCTCCTCCTTTCCACACCTGCAAACTCTTTTGCTTGGGCTGAATATTTAGTGTAATTACATCTCAGCTTTGAGGGCTCCTGTGGCAAATCCCCGGATTAAAAGGTATGGTTTTCAATAATTGTCCTGAACTCTGCTACAGACTAATAAAACTTTGATCAAGCTGAGGGCAAAAGGAATTATTTGGTGAGAGAAAGAAAAGAAAAAAAAATCGTTCTAAACTTTTGATACTCTTTATGCAGTATTTTAAACAAGTATTACTTGAAGACAGAAGTTAAATATTTGGTAAAATGGTTGAATGCATTGTTTTAGTTCTTTCTGTTCTTGCAAAGATGTTTATTAAAAAAAATTATAACCTAACACCATGACTATCTACATTGATATATTTTGTATTTGTACTAATGAAATGTTTTACCTCTTTAGAAAGCATTTATATTCTAGATCAGCATACTATTTGTAGTTGGGCTATATGTATATATATATATATATATATATATATATGTATGTATATTTAAGGATTTAGTTCCCTCCTGAATTCTTGCATATTTTCAGAACTTTTAAAATCTCAGAGAGATGTGAACTCTGGTGATTAGCTGCAGAAGTCAAATGAATGTATATTTCTACAACCTAGAAAAGAATAGAAATTATCACCAGAGAGGTGAAAATAAACATTGAAAATACTTACGCTGCTTATTAAAGATAATCTCACGGTTAGCTTCATAATTCCTTACAGAGAAAGAAAAAACCCAGTCAGTATTTTCAATGCAAATGAAATTTTACTGTAAAATACATCACTTGAAAAGGAGGGTGTAGGTTATTTTTCTTGCTAATTTCAAAACAGGGTAACACAATGACCACTGATTAAGTGGGCTCCCAGTGACATAAATTCCTGTGGCTTTTTCTTTTCCTATTGCTATTTTGACCAGAAAAAGAACCAAATGCTTCCTTTAGCAGTCCTTATTTATGGATAAATGCCATTTTTATTGTCTTTTTTTGAATTATTTCCATTACTATTGAGGTTTTTCATTCACCTGGTGCTGGGGGATTTTTATTTTGCTCTGCAGTTATAGTTTTACTTATCTCTTGAGGGTTAAATTTTGATCTTGAAAGTTACACCAAAGGCATGAATGACATCCTACAAATGTTGAACTGAATGATATAGTTAATTTAATGGGCTGAAGTAGTTTAAAGAGCCAGAAATTATTATTTTCGATGAAACACTTATAAACTGTGGCTACTAGCTTTAGTGGAGTAGTGACATTACACCTAGCAATTAGCACCTAGGAAAGAGTCATACTTTTTGAGAATGCTTCAAACAATTTCAATGAAATTTAGACAGTATATTGTCTCAGTAATAATCTCCTTGGTTTCTACAAGGGCATCTGCTCTTTTTTGTTTATTTTTCTTATATACTAAGGAAGGAAGGACATGATAAGAAATTATTAATATCAACAGCCCCCACTAATTGTTTTAAGATGCTGGGTCTTCAAGTATTATGACACTAATTTAAAAGAAACCATCTCTTGGGGGAATTTGTATAAAGTTCCTGGACATATTATTTTTCTCCAGGACATTCAGGGTTAAAATGCACACACACACACACACACACACACACACACACACACATCAAAGTGATATAAAATAAGTAATGGAAGTTATAAACTTCCTGCTTGTGTTCAGCTTTAAACCAAGAAAAATATTGTGCAGAGGATTTGCACCATTTTAACAAGAGTAAACACATATAAATGATAATATTCCTCTGAGCTAGTGTTCAACATTTCTTTTTTGGGGTTAGTGAAACAACCAGGCATTTTCTGTTCTGGAGAAAAGATCAAAAAGCAACATCTGCATTAATTCTCACTGCTATTTATTAAATCTGCAATTACTTTGCTTCATTTTTCTTCTAAAATTGTAAGATATTAAGTATGCAAGCCTAGCAAACTGTGGTAAACCGTAAACATTGCATTTTAATGTGAAACAGACAGAAACCACTCCCTTAGATCCAGTCCAAGGGAACACTGCCAAAACAATAGGCTCTCCATTAAAAGGCTAGGCAGTAACTGAGTGGGAACACACTCCCAGAGAAAACCTGATACTGAATTTAAAGGGGCAGTGTGAATAATAATCTTTGTGGTATTTTTTAAATGAGAAACCACATGCCCGTACTTTATATATGCTGCCTTAACACAGACCGCAGTAATAAATGTAAACTTAAGAGCACAAGTGTAAGAAATCCAAAAACATTTTTTTCCCTCTCTAGTGCCTCTAGCCAAGAAGTTCCAGAAGTTACATAGACAGATACCAGATACGTTAAGGTTAGGGGATCCAAAGTGGTTTGTTTTTTTTTTTTTTTTTTTGGTTTTGTTGTTGTTGCATATGTTATAACTGACTGATGACTAAAAATCATTTTTTTTACATCTGGTTATGAATGGGCAGCTTTAATATGATTCTTTTACATGTACGTTTCAAAGTAGATGTGGGGAACTAAAGATAACATCTGCTATGTGTTTTGGGAATCCTTAGTTTCCGGAGGGTTTTAAGACATATCAAGTCAAAAATAGACTGCTTGTTCTCTACATGATCAACTACTTTTTGTTATTCAGATCTATGTAGTTCCCTTCAGCCAGCTGAATCCCAACTCAATGACAGATGTATGTATCTAAAGTGCTCATTGAAGGAATGGATAAATACTGTATGGATTTGTCAAAACTGTACTTTTGTTTGTTTACAAAATTGCCCTCGGGGTAAAACCAGATAACGTGTAAGTCCTATAAAAATCAGTAGGATTTTCCATATATGTTTACTGCTTTAATAAAAAATGATCAGTTTGAGAAACTGGCCCATAGATTTATTCTAAAAAATAAATTGTGCTTCCACCAAATTGAGGTTTTCCATTTGTTACCTTTCTTGGGCTAGAAATTTGATATTGAAAAAAAGATAAGTTTGGGTTTTAAAAAAGATCAGACCAACTGGTTGCCTGGAACAAACTGAATAACTTGTATTATTAATAAATTGATGGTCAATTGAGTCATTTATGTGCAAAATGTTGTGCAAGGCCTGGGTACAGAACAAAGAATAATAAGACACGCCCTGAAGGAGTACATCTTCTAGTTGGGGGGACAGACCAAGCACGCAAAACAAATTACAGTATAATGTGATAAGTTCTTTAAAAGAGGTAAGAGCAACGTGCTGTGGGGCACAGAAGAGGGAGGAAGCAGCATCCTGCCTGGATGAGCCAGGGAATCCGCAAGGGAAGTCCATTATCATTTTTAGTCTTCACTGCCATCTTACAAGGTAGGTATTTTAAATGGCACTTAGCTTTGAGTGTCAGGGTTGAGGTGGGGACTGGAGGAGAGAGGAAATTGAGAGAAAGCGGGCTTGAAACATCGGTTGGTACCAAATTATGAACGGTCTCACAGGCCACAAAGGAGATGTGGACCTTATTGGCAAGCCTTGAGAAGTCAACAGGAGTTTTCCATAGAATAGGGATACAATGAAATCTAATTCTCAGAACACGACTTGAGCAGCAGAGTGGGGGATGACCTGGAGTAAAGGAACTATTCAAGGCTGAGACCAGTTGGAAGCTCTTGTGGTAGTTCAGGGAGTGATGAGAAAGGTCTGGACCGAGATAAATACAGTGGGCTGGGGAGGTGAGATTGGCGTCCAGAGAGGTTTCTGACGCAGGAATTGAAGATCTCTCATGTGCATAGACAAAATTTTATTTGACTGTGGCCTGGCTTGTGTTGAATAAGCCCTGAGAATTCTAACATGGTCTATCATCATAACCATTTTGCAAATGACATGAATATATGATATGCCATCTCAATTCAGACCCCAAATTCAAGCAAGAAGATTTAAATTACATTCAAATTTCTTTTCCTAAGTAAATAGCTGTGCAAGGTAGTCTGTTACATACCTTTCAAATACATTTCAGTGTTCTGCTTCCTCACAAGAAATGAAAGACTTTTTTTTTTTATACTTAACTCTCTACTGTGGGGTGTTATGTAAGACATAACGCAGTAACCAGGTGGTGCGACTCTTCTAAACCTTTCGTTTGTTTCCTAGGTTCCTTGGCTGTGAAAATACATGAGATAAATCATGAAGGCAACCATCATCTTCCTCCTGCTTGCACAAGTTTCCTGGGCTGGGCCGTTCCAACAGAGAGGCTTATTTGACTTTATGCTAGAAGATGAGGCTTCTGGGATAGGCCCGGAAGAGCGTGCTCCTGTGGATTCTGACCTAGAGCCTCTGGGGCCTATGTGTCCCTTCCGCTGTCAGTGTCACCTGCGAGTTGTCCAGTGTTCTGATCTGGGTGAGTAGGTGCAGGCTGTCTCTAGCCACCTTGCTTCATTCACAGGAATGGCTTCCTCGAGAGGTTAGCGTTTTCCTTTTTAATCTCTGCAGTTCCAAATGTGAGAGACAGTGCCACCTATGGAGAAGTAAAGGAAGCTGAATAGCCGAGAAAGAAGGCGCTTTTAAGTTAGGAGACCTCTTTCTTTCTTTTTTAAATTGGAGCTCCATCACCTTTGCAATCTCGGACGAGTCACTTTTAAAAAAAATCTTTCTGAACTTCATGGTCCCCCTTCTGTAAAGTAAAATTTTGAACAAAATTATGTCTTCTGTTCCACTATTCCGAAGGGATGGTTTATTTTAATTCTGTGATTTGCTTTCAAGAAATGTTAGATATTAAAACCTGGGTGATGTCTCTACTCTTGGCTTAGCCCAGATAACAGAGTTTGAACATTACAAAACTGTAAGGTATGCGGAGTTTATGAGAAGCAAAACAAGTGAAGATTTAGAACAAAAAATTACCTTTCAAGAACCAAAATACTCCCTTAATCTCTGGGTCTTAGTTTTGCCTTTGCCTTTGGCATTTTGTAATCTAGCTGTTTATATTCTTTAGAAAGTTTCAAAAGCAATCTTTACAACTAAGATAGGGTATAAATATTCAATATAATCACGGGACATATATCTTTAGCCTAACACTGTATACAGCTTGATTTATCATGTTTCAAGAAAAATTTGGCCTGGGAATTCCAAGAGCAATACACCCAAAAGATAAATCTCCAGAAAGTCTGAGGCCCCAGCAGATGGGCCAAAGGGAAATGAATGTAGTTGACGTGACAGTTGATTTGCATCTCTCTCTCGCTCTCTTCCTCTCTTTTTGGCTCACTTTCTTATAAGGAAAAAAAAATCCTCATTAGAATGACTCTTCCATGGTGTATTTCCTAATGGAAGAAACTCCATGGTGTAGTAGGGTACTTCTTTGGGGAACCCTGTATCTATTCAGAACATGCTTTCTAGCAACCTTCTGCAGGAAAATTTGTCACTACCTCTACAGTTGGAATAAACTACATGCTGGAACCCAGGAAAACATAAAACATGGTAGTAACAACTCAAAATCAAACATTCAGGATAGCTTTTAAAATGCTGACATATTGTATAGCCATTAAACACCCAGAAAAAAAAGTGTGTGGAAAGGCTTTAAAAAAGCTACAGGATAATTCCACTGGATTCATTCATTCGTCCATTCATTCATTCAACAAATATATAGAGATACCACAATGGGTCAGATCTGTTGTAAGCTCTGGCAAGGAAGGAATGAGGAAGACTATAAATACGGTCCTTGTTCTTGTGGGTCTGATATTATATTGGTGGTGATTATTTTTCTCTTGAATTGTATGTTTGCTACAAGGGGGATTAGATCACTCTCAAATTCTACAGAAACTGTTACAAGTATCTAGAGATTACCTGCACTGCTAGTACATATTTTCAATCATGCAGTTGAAAATATCTGCACATTGGAATCACCATATGATGGATATACTAGGGGTAAACTTTTAAAAAATTTATTAAAATGGCCAAGTTCCTAAGAAATGTGAAGCCAGTTACATCTCACTTTGCCTCAGGAAACAAGGTTAAAAGGGTTCATGATTAATACCCACCACATATGTTGCCAACAATGAACAGTTGGCATTTTTAAGGAGGAAGGACTTGTCCAGTAGCTTCACTGGCTTTATTTTCCATAAACATAGTTTGCTCATATGATAAAAAGTTTATAAAACTTGAGTCTGATGAAAGCATTTGAGACAGTTTTCCAGTTGTCTTTAAAAAAAAAAAGGCCTAAATCTATTGCTGAAAACTAAACAGAAAAATCCAGTCTGCGGAATTGTCAAGTTCATTGACGGTCGTTCATGACCTTGTTATTATTTTGTTTCAATGTATTTTGTGTTGTTTTTGGATGAGGAAGATTTCTATATGTTACCTTTTACCTAAGAGCCCAGAGTGTACATCATTCCTTTAAAAGAGTGACTGACCTTCTATACCAAGGAAGTAGCAAAGATTATAATAATGATTTGTTTGGGGGAACACTACCGAATGAAGAGAACTGAGTTCCCATGAGCAATGGTCTCATCCGAGTTACTTTTACTTTTTCTTGAATTCATATTTAAATATATTGTGAAGGGTTTTGGTCAGATATTTCTAAAACAGAAAATACGTTTCAAAAAGGAAGAACAATCTGTTTGCCTTTAAAGAAAACACTCTATTCACACTCTCCACTACCATCTAACTTCTTACTTTATGCTCTTGGCACTGTTTGGAGCCTTGATATCTTCATCTGCAGAAAAATCACAGCTGACCTTAGAGATCCTCATATTTGTGTGTGATGCCTGGCTCATAGTGGACTCTCGATATATACTTTCTATGTGATGATTATATGGAGTAAAAGGTGAAAGATATATAGAAAAAAAACAAGGAAGGAGAAATAGGCAATCTTATTGATCATAAAGGCAATGCAGTTTATTTTATTTTTTTGTTTTAAGTTCTTTAGTGATCTGAACGTGAAGCTTGAATTATTAGGAGAGAGAAAAAAATGTAATGCACTTTGGGATGAGAAATGTGAATGCTTATTGTTATGAAAGGCTAATGTTTTCTAAAGGATTATTCTTGCCAGAGCTTTTAATGAGCAGAGGGGAGCTAGTGTTGAAGGACAGTAGTCTTTTGTCATTTTATATCTAAGCAATATTTAATAGAAGCAAACACTTCTTACTAAAATGTTTGACTGTTTTTGCCACTAAAAAGTGTTTTTGATGAAGTTAAACAACATCGACTTTTTAAACAGTTCTTTTAAACAGTTCTACATCAAAGCTAAGATGTAAAAACTGAAATTGGAATTTAATAATTAGTTCATAGGAAAATTTGAGGTGTTCAAGAAGATACATGGATGTTTTAGTTCCTTGTTCCAATTTATCAAAATAGCATTATTTATGTTTTTCTCTAGCATGGGGGATTGAGAAAGTAAACATTTTTTCACCTGTCCAAGAAAGTAATGAATACTTCACAGATATTGGCCAAGTTGTTTGGCTGAATTTGTTGTAATTTAGCTTGTAATTTGAACCAGAATTGAATGAGACACCATCTTCTTTTTTTTTTAATCTATCTTTTTTAAGACATAAAGCAATTTACTCTTAAATGTAGCATTTATAAAAAAAAGGTAAGATGAACAAATTCAGAAATCTATGGTTACCTTAAAATAATAAACCTACAATGTAACTCATTCTTGTCAAAATCTTTTTAAAATGTCCTAATATTGATCCTGTGAGTGGATGCTGTTTTATGTACTTATTATCTTGAAAGAAAACAATTCTCTTACTTATATGTATACTCTTTGGCTCAAGTGTTACCAGGTAGCCATTCATCTTTGGCTCACGTGTTACCAGGTAGCATTATTTGGTACTGACTTCCATTTTGTTGCTAAAAGGCAGATCAACCCTGGCAGGTGAAGTAAGTATAAGCACTGTTTTTTGACTATTCTTCCAAATTAAAGTAATAGTTATTGATACACTTCTTTTTTTAATTTTTTTTAAAGATTTATTTGAGAGAGAGGGAGAGAGTAGGGGGAAGGGCAGAGGGAGAGAGAGAGAGAGAATCCTCAACCAGGCTCCATGTTGAGGGTGGAGCCCAATGCAGGGCTCAATCTCAAAACCTTGAGATCATGACCTAAGCTGAAATCAAGACTCGGATGCTTAACCCACTGAGCCACCCAGGAGCCCCTTGAGGCATTTCTTATAAGCAAATTTCAAAAGAATTTACAAAGCTTTTAAAATGATTTAATAGTTGCAAGAACTTGGGTTTTGCAGTTCAACACCTCTGAACTCAAGTCCTGCTTTACCATTTACTACCCGTAAATGCCGAAACATTGAAACTTTCACTGGAGAAATGGGAATATATCACATTTCATTAGGTAAGAATAGAAGATATTGATAAAAGTGTCTACCATACTGTTCTGTTTAGTTTACCATTTCAGACAAAGTTGGCTAGTAACATGAGGCTATTCCTCATAATGTTCTTTTCTTTTTCTTTGACACTGAGAATCTCTGAGAAGTATACCGCCTGTCGAACTAGATAAAAAATAGCACCTTCTCTCCCCTCCCTCCTAAAGAGGACCACATCACCTCCAACTATAAACAGACACAAATTAGAGAATGGTACAATTATCAAGCAATTCAGTCTTCTCCAAACACCATTCCTTTGAACAAAATGGGTTTGGTGAAGTGGAGAACAGTGAAACATTTGGCTATTTTATAATCATAAATGATTCACAACCCACACATTTGGCTCTCTAGAGATGATGTTGGAAGATGTAACATTTTATTTTGCCATGTAAAAGCAGTACAAATAACTACCGGTCCCTAAAGTGCACTTCATATGGCAAAGGATATTTTAGTTTTAAAAATGTCTTAGCAAAAAAACAAAAAAAAAGAAGGAAAGAAAGAAAAAGAAAAACCCAAATTCTTTACACTGCATAGAGTTAGTTTTCTTCTTTTTAATAATTTTGCTTCAAGTGGTGAAAATTTTGTCAGTAGCCACCACTTGGGACATACATGAGATAGCTTATTTCTTGTCTGGGGAAACTGGTTTTCCAGAAGCAAATCTTATATGTGAGGTAAATGAACCATTAGACTTCCTCTGTGAAATCAACTCAGAAGAAAAATTAGGGCTGTTTTGTAGAGGGGCAGAGACAATGTTGGAAGCTCAGTTGCTTTTATAGTTTATGTCTGGCTCTGCAGAAGCAGAGATGTGGGGTGACCCTCATTAGGAGTTTCAGATGCATCAAAAGGGTGTGCCTAAGACATAGTATGAGAAGGGGGCTGTGCACAGAGCATGCCCAATGGGTTGCCTAACTTCATATTGGATAGGGTGGAGTATGGCAGATCTTTAGACGCAGCAGGAGGAATTCTCATGTGACCCAGATGGCCAAAGTTCCTGACCCAGGGGTTAAAGATGGAGAGGAGGAAGAGAGGAGTCAGA